TGTGCCTGTCTTTCTCAAAAAATAAACATCATGGGCTGGGTGGCTCAGTTGGTTGGGCTGTCCCACCTCACCAGGTCATGATCTCACTGTCCTGCGGGGTTTGAGTCTGCAGGGGCTCTGTGCTGACAGCTCAGAGCCCGGAGCCTGCTCGATTCTGTGTCTCCTCTTTCTCTGCCCTCCCCTGCTCAAGCTCTGTTCTGTCTCTCAAAAATACATAAACATTAAAAAAAAAAATTAAAAATAAACACAGATTTTTTGCAAATACATAGCTCTATATGTATGTTAATAATAATATTTTTTAAAGCTCATCAGCACAGGGCTGGATGGAAATGGTAGAAGGCCTGGGAACGGATGACATCTTAGGGCAAAGTACAGGCTGGATAAGGTTCAGGTGTATCTCTCCAATGAGACCTGTCTTGGCCTTTGCTGTGTGAAGATATTATATCCAAAGGCAGATCTAGAGAGAAAAAGTGGAGACCTCTGGGATAGTGGTGGGAGTTTCTAGACAGATGGAACTTGAACCCAACCAGAAGCCTTAGAAGTCACTGGTTTATCTTCGACGCCAGCCAATGCCCCCCAGATGACGGAGGGCATTGTTGGGGCCACAGCAACGGAGGCCATCCTGGTCTAGGAGTGGGCACAGCCAGGAGGCCAGGAGGCTAGGAAATTGGGAATAAGTCAAGCTGACTGTATTGTTGAGATCACTTCAGCCTCGGCCTGCCCGTTTGAGTAACTAGAGCTCTGCACTGACCCCGTGAAGTCACACAGGAGGTGAATGTTTCTCTCCCATTTACCTGGGCAAACTTTCCAGTGATCACAAGGGGAACCTCACACTGGAGTTTGGGAGAAGAGACACATAATGCACATATCTCCCAAGTCATGAAGCAGAAATAATGAAAAGACAAAGCAAACTCAGGTCAAATGAAAGACACAAAAAACAGAAAAGAGGAATTAAGTGTATCAAGTTCTAAAACAACCCCTGAAAGTAAGATCAAGCACTTATATGACATTAAATGTGAATAAACTATGCTCCCAAGCAAAAGTCGATTTACCTTGATTTTAGCGAAAAAAAACAAGACTAAACTTTCAAACACATGTTGTTTTATAACAGACTTTAACACAAAGTGGTCTGTTAAAGGCTAAACAAAACAAAGAACAAAGATTGGGCAAAACACTAATATAAAAAACAAATTTTGATAACGGAAACAGGGACAAAGAATTAAAATTAAAACCACTAGCAGATACTGGGTTCTGCTAACTGGTTGAGTGCCTGACTTCACGCTCAGGGTCAAGGCGATCTCATCATTTGTGGGAGCCCTGTCAGGCTGAAAGCGGACAGCAACGGAGCCTGCTTTGGGACTCTTTTCCTCCTCTCTGTCCCTTCCTGGTTATGTTGCTCTGTCTCTCTTCAAAATAAATACATAATTTTTTTGGCAATTAAGAAGACCGAAGAGACAGTCTTATAATGCCACAAAGTACCTCAGTGAAACTCTAACAGTAGTGACAGACTGAACACAACAGTGCTAAAATGTTCCTTTTAAAAAAATCAGTAGCAAAAAATTACAGTAGAGAAATAGCAGCAGAAATTAACACCACAGCTTTATTGTGCCAGGTACCCCGTTCTAAGGCATCTCGCAATATATTAACTGACCTAATTCTCGTAAAGCAAGCAGGAAATTGGTGTCATTCTCATTATGAGACAGGAAGAACAACCACAGAGAGAATTACATCGGTTTCCGGGTTAAAACCAGTAACGTGCCCGTCTCTGGTGCACGAAGTGCCTAAGGAAGGAATAAATTAATAATTTCCATAAGGAAGGAGGGAAAGTATTTGTTATCTCTGTCTTGCTCCTCCAAAGACAAGACAAAACCACCTGATAATTTGTGGAGCAAAGAGTTTAAATGATGTCAGATACAGCCCCTTCAGCTATATCAATCTGTGATTCACACACACACACACACACACACACACACACAATATTTTGAAATGCTGTGTCAGTCTGCTCACTAAAATAAATGTGCTTTGAGAACGGTCTCAGTCCTCAAAATCTGCCTTCTGGTCATTACACAAGCCTCAGAGTAGAGCTCTTCAGGGCCTCAAAGTGGCCATTACTTAAGGAGGAAGCCTGAGGGATACCCCTGACCACCACTAATGGCTGAGGCGGTAAGTTGCAGCCAGGTGGATCCAACATCCACGCGAGTGTCTACCATCTCTCCTCCTGGGTTTGCAACATTTTCTCTCTCAAAGGCCCCAAAAAACATTTTAAAGCAATTTCCATCTGTAACAGTCCAGGAAGTCAGAAAAATTTGACAGGAAAATATAGCACACATGGATGTACTTCACCAAGGATGAACAATAGACTCTAAATTAAGTTCGGTAGCTTTGGGAAAATAAACGTAATAATAATCATACAGCACAGCGTGAAAGTTCTCCTTTGGGATTTCATTTCTTTATCGTGCTTGAGGTGCTTTGCCTCGTAAATATGATGGTTTAGAGATGGGAGAGGAATTTGTTTATTACGTCATGAACTAGCAAACCTGTTTCGAAGCCATCACCAAAAGCGACCTTTGCAAAACAGACAGTATATAGTAGAAGGATACGAAAATATCAACTATAGAGACAGTCCTTGCTTCAGACCCAGGGATGAGGATATGATCATATCAGGATGGATGAGGGTTGGGGCTGCTTGTGGAGTGGCACATAGGACAGGCATGAAGTTTGGGTACCTTCCTCATATGAGAAGGAGACAGAGAATAAAAGGAGAAAGGAGAAAGGGAGGGAGGGAACAAAGCAAGAAAAAAGGAAAGAAAAATTTCTTCTCAGCAAGAAATACTTTAAAACATCGTGATTCAGCATACCTAACATGCTAAAAACAAAAAGTGATTCAGAGAACATTGTTTCTGCCTTTTGTTACATACAACGGCCAATTTTATATTTCCACTGTATTCTATCCCACACTATTTTCCCTTTAATCTCTGGTAGCAAACCCATTAAATCACATGATTCCATAATAATGGGGCTAGGACCCATTAGTATGAAAATTGACGAGCCATAAAAATGAAAATCTTGTAATTTATAAATTTTTATGGTATTACAGTAACAACACAGAATATTAATACAATATGTCCCATCTTTTATGCATTGATTTTTTTAGTATCAACCCTCTTTATAATAATAGCATTAAGATGAAGTTTTGGCACTGTGATTAATCATCATTTAAAAAGGTAGATAATAGGTTTCAGTAGTCAATGTTGAGCGCCTGCTGGGTCTGAATACTGCGGGTTTCAGTTTCCAGTTTGAGTTTGAGTTTCGCTTCTCATTTTCTAGGCCCTTCTCTGCCTCCTTCATTTTAAAGCTTTAGTTTCAAAATAAATAAACATTGCAAATTTTTTTTAATTTTTTTAACGCGACATTTTTGAGACAGAGACAGAGCATGAACGGGAGGGGCAGAGAGATAGAATCGAAGCGGCTCCAGGCTTGGAGTCATGCCACAGAGTCTCTATCGGGCTCAACTCATGACTGTAGATCGCGAATTCCTGAGCTGAAGTCAGACGCTTAACCGACTGAGCCACCCAGGCGCCCCTAAAAAAATTTTTTTAAAGAAGAATATCACATTGCATAATCCCAATCCAATGAAGTGGACCCAGACAAACCACTTCGTACAGATTCCCTTCCTTACCAACTTTTTTACAGCCATGTATTTTCATGAAAAGAACACTAGACCAAGAGACAGAAGATATGGGTTAAGATGCAGAATCACCATAAACTGTGTATCCTTGAGTAAAGTCACTCACTTTCACTGAGCCCAATATTCCCCATCTATGAAATGGGGATAATTATACCTCCTCTAATTTTCTCACAGACTTTCCTGAGGCTCAGATGATTAAAAGCCATGGGGGGTCTC